CAAAACTTCCTTCTTTTTCAAAGTGACAGTTATAGAATTCTGTTTATTTATATTCTTGTTTTTCATTCCCCAACATCACTCCCATTAGACTGACAGCTTCTTGAAAGCAAAAGATGTGTCTTCTTTGGGCTAATCCATAATTTGTTGAAAAAAGTAGAAATTAACAAGTGTAGTATACAGGAGAGATCCTGTGCTTACCTTAAAAGCTATAGTTATGAGAATATAAATATTTCTTTAATGAAGTTATATTTTCAGCCCTTTCTTATTTACAACATCTTATCTGACTTCACTGGGTGTATGGGCCTCAATGACAAACTCTACCAAACCAATGAAAAGAAAAAAAGTGATCATTAAAAATCATATGCAAATTATTTGGTTCCAATAATTTTACTATCTAGACATAACTTAAAATAGGTTTAGAGAAGTTTAGTATTTAGCACATTTATCTAAAAAGAACACTATACAGCCATAAAAAACGATGAGTTTGTGTCTTTTGTAGGGACATGGATGAATCTGGAAACCATCATTCTCAGCAAACTGACACAAGAACAGAAAACCAAACACCACATGTTCTCACTCATAGGCGGGTGTTGAACAATGACAACCCATGGGCACAAGGAGGGGAACATCACACACTGGGGTCTGTTGGGGGGTGGGGGACTGGGGGAGGGACAGTGGGGGTGTGGGGAGGTTGGGGAGGGCTAACACTGGGAGAAATGTCTGTTGTAGGTGATGGAGGAGATGGAGACAGCAAACCACCTTGCCTTGTATGTACCTATGCAACAATCCTGCAAGATCTGTACATGTACTCCAGAACTTAAAGTACAATTTTTTAAGAAAGAATAATATCCCTTTTAAAAGGAATGTGCATGGAAATATTAATAACCTTAGAAGTACAGGATCTTAAATCAGTCTTTTATGGGTTTTAATACCTTACTCTGCAGGAACTTTACGGTCTTTCCATAAAGACTTTTCATATTATATAAAAAAGTAGTGTTTTCTAGAACTCATGAAAAATGGTCATATAAAATGAATCCTGAAGGAACAGCTTAAATAATTATGTGCATTGAGTGAGAGATGGAAACAAGGTCTCAGTGTAGGGAGACAGAAGGGCTCAGGCAGCTCTCCGGCATCCTTAGGGAATATGGTAGATGGGCTAACAGCTACCCAGATTTTTTCAAAACCAGCATATTTCCAGGTACTACTAAATTTTGAGGGGAAAAGGTATTAATGGGTCTTAACAAATAATTGAAATAATTTAATTTAATGAAGTAGAAAAAAGAACCATTTTAAGTAGATTTCCTTGAGGCAAAAAAAAAAAAGCAAGCAAGCCTGTATTAAGATCTCTCAAGCTTGTGAACCCACTGTACTCACAAGGGTATAGAAATAACCTCAGTAGACCAGCTGCAGTGGTTCACACCTGTAATCCCAGCATTTTGGGAGGCCAAGGCAGAAGGATCACTTGAGGTCAGGAGTTCAAGACCAGTCTGGCCAACATGATGGAACTCTGTCTCTACTAAAAATACAAAAATTATCTGGGCTCAGTGGCATGTGCACGTAATTTCAGCTACTTGGGAGGCTGAGGCAGGAGAATCGCTTGAATCTGGGAGGTGGAGGTTGCTATGAGCTGAGTTCTTGCTACTACACTCCAGTCTGGTGACAGAGCTAGTCTCTGTCTCAAAAATAAATAAAAAAATAAGAAATAACCTCAATAAAGTAAGGTTCTGGTCTATCTAAACAAATGTTTGTAAATAATCTTAAAATGAAAAGGTATATATAAAGGGAAATAGAGTATACATAATTATATTTAGAACAAATATAAATATAATGAAGGTCCTGATGTCTTCAGTGACAGCCACTGACTTACAAGAGAACATTTGTGAAAATACATACATATTTCTAGAATTTCCAGCCTGTTGCTGTAATAGTGAGCAAAGGAATAGGACCGCCATTTAGGAACATACATATATTAGGAAAAAAATGCCCTCAGGAAGACAGGAACTCCTTCCAATAAATGAATAAAATGAGTAGCCTTCTTGCTTTGCACTAGTTAATCTTTATTTTAGTTTGAATGAAGGTATTAACCACAGGAATTTGCTATAATATCATTGGGGAAACAACCCATAGATCTATTTTTTTTTCTACGACATCCCATTGAAACTCTATGAAATATTTGATTACCATCTTAGAAACTGTCTAGGGAAGATAGAGAAGAGAAGAGGCAGCTGAAGTTTGCAGTGCAAATGTTAAATCCTGTGATGAATAGACTTTGCTTGTCATTTGACACAGAGGCTGTAACATAGGTGAACTAACTGTATAGTAGCTTCTGTGGTGATGCTTTTCCTTGTGTGATATTTTCTTTTCATTTGAATTTTGCATAAAGGTTAATACCTTTTGTTATTTTATTATTTTTTTTTTACCAGCATCTTAGTCTCTGAAAGTATTAGACTCAGTTGCCTTACTTTCTTTTTCCTCTCTCACCTCTAGTCAATGACTGGGATAATTGGTTTGGCTGCCTATTTTAAGAAAGCATATAACAATCTGAATGCTGCTCTTATCTCTGGGTTTAGAATGACAGGTGTTTAAAATGAGCATCTTAAAATTATATATAATAAACATGTTTATTGAAAATAAACTTTCAGCAACTCTAAAGAGCTGATAGATTTGTAAGAATTATTGTCTTTTACATCATTGATATTATTGTTTGGAAAATCGTAGCAAAATATATAGAAACATCAAAAATATTGGCAGTCGAACAAAAGTGAAAGTAATAGTTTGTATTTCTTAAAAGTTTCCAGACTAAGGGAGTTTATTTCACTTTTAATTTATTCAGTAATACTAAAATAATAAAAAGCATACACTACATTCCAAAGTGCCTCTTCTCCTTTGTACAGGTATGTCTTTTTTATTTCCACTTCTTCCCATGCACTATCCTCAATGCACTGGAGCTCAAGAAGTTTGAAAGATCTTACAAAGAGCGCAGGAAATCTTTATCACTTCGGTTTTATCCTCTTTTTGAGTACTGTTAAAGTATTATAGAATATACAAACTTTTTATGAAATAGCTCTTTTAGGTTTTAATAAGAAGTTTGACTCGTCCCTTTCCCAGCTCCAAACTCAGCTGAGTCCAGTGTGGTAGCTGAGCTTGGACAGACCCAAGGGAGAGAGAACAAATTATACTCAATTGCTACTCGTCTGTTTTGTTCAAGGCTTCATTACTGACTCTAGTTTGTCATGCCTGAACACTTCTTTCTTGATTGGGAATTCTTTTATAGGAGGCTCCATGGTGGCTTTAAGCAGGACTGTCTCCACCTTCTCACCATACCTTGAGGGATCTCAGATACTGGGTCCCTCCCCTGCTGTATTAGAGTTAAATGGTCCCTTAGATTCTTCTGATTTAGTCTTGGATTTTGTATTTTGCACAAATAGCTAACGTTAACTGTTAGCCGGACCAGCCGAAAGGAAGTTTGATGGGTAAAGACTTTCTGAAATTGTTATGACAGCTTTTATAAATAAGTAGAAATGAGTGCTTGAAGATTTCAGATGTGATCTACTACTTGAAGAAGGTAATGGACTTTGAATATTTTGCGGCACTTATATTGATTGGTGAATCTTTTCAATGGTGATGGCTATTTAAAGAAAAGTTACAAGAACATAAATGCAATTAAAAAACTGCAAAATGTCTTTGGAAATTCAAGCAGTTTCAACTTTCACATTTAACTACCCAGAACATTGGGAGCAGGGTACCCTTGTATGTAGCAGAGAACAAAATGAGATGGCAGTCAGTGCAATTACCACTCCTAGTCTCTCAGGAACAGGAGAAAGCAAAATTGTTCTATAGTGTTTTCTCAAACCCTGAATCACTTTTTATTCCCTTACTCTCATGCCAAAGGATCCAAATAGATTATATATATAAACTCTCTATATAATCTATATAAAAAAATATATTTTTGAGTGTCCCAAGAGCCCTACCACAAGCTTGTCACCTTTAGGCACTATCTCTGTGCTGAGATGCCATCACTCTATTCTGTGCCCTATTAAAAATAGCCTTCTTCAAACTGATATGTTGGAAATTTGTATCTCTCCTAGGAATGTTTGTTCTGTAATGGCAGATCATAATTTAGCTTAAAGGAGCCCTGCTGTTGGAAGTTTAAACATTAGGTTTAGGTTAATGGGGTAATACATGGGCAGAATTAATTGTAGTCTCATAATTCACCAAATTACATGAAAGTGAAAACACACTGCAAGTGGGGACTATATGTCTGTAAAAGAAAAGCAATATAATATATTAAGATGAATGTGAGACTTGGAGTTCTGGTTCAACATTTACCAATGTATGATATTGGACAAGTCTCCATTATCTCAGTAAATATAAAAATAGAACAGGTTAATAATACCTACCTCACTGGATTTAATAATGAGAAAAAATGAAATCATATAGGTTTAGGTCTTTTACAAGCTGTTATGTGCTACATTCAAAATGGACCAGTAGTGGGAACATAAGCTTCTATCTCCATCCATACATGTGTTTACAAAAATTCTACTTTAGGCACAAAGCCACTGTTTAAAATAATATGTATACGTAAATATTTTTTCATAAACTCCCTCATCTACAGAATTATCTGTTTTCATTATGGTTTATGTCAGTAGTCTTGGAAATGTTTAGTTTATGCCATTTAAGGTAGAGTTTCAGTACTTTTAAGTCCTTTTAAAAACCTTTGTCCCTAAGTTGCCTTAGTCTTTCTCTCCTTTGGTAAGTGAGCTTGATTTCAAGCCATTTATATATAGATGAGTCTGTTCTGTACATGTAAATAATGTTATGGTAAAGAAGAAAACTATACGAGCACATTTTTGTAGGGCAATGGTGACAGTTCCATTGTGAAACAGAATGGGACAAAGAAAAAACACAAAAGATGTAGTAATGAGAATAATCTGCATTCTCTCAAGAAGCAAACCAAACATATCAACTATAGCAATCTTTATTATTGTTATTTATTGTAGATGGGGCACACTGAGAGGAGCACAAGGGCGGAAAGAAAAATTTTGGGTATGTAACTCTTCCCAGTTTAATCCCTGTTGTGAAGTGAATATGTTTGAATCTTCTGTTCCTCTACCTGCGTGGTATTATTTAGTCACATCCTCAGTTGTGTAATATTTGTTAATAACATCGGCTTTTTCTCCAGCATAAAACTGATTATAAATATTTATATTGTATTTATAGTTTTCCTCAACTCCTATTTGAAACTGTAAAAAAAAAAAAAAAAAAATCAGCTTTTTTCCCAAGTTGAGAATCAACTTTTTGTTCTATTATCTTTTATATTAAAGTAATGATTAAAATTCATTCATATATATGTATATGACAATGAACTTTATGCTTTTGTTATGTTAGTATCTCATATATATGGTATATTACATGTATGTATCCTATAGGTTAAGGCTTTTTTTTTTTCCTTTTTGCCAATTATAACATACACATGTGCCTTTACTCAGAAAGAACCAATGTCTAGTCACAAAATAATAGAAAGTTTCTGTTATTTTGGCAATTATAACAAACACATGTGTCTTTACTCAGAAAGAACCAATGTCTAGTCTCAAAATAACAGGTAAGAAACAATTTGCAGAAGATTGAAACATATTACCTCAAATATTCGATTTGCTACAAGCTGGTCAATTGTCCTAAGTTCTTATGTATTTTTTATACAAATATAATAAAGTCTAGGTGGTAATACTTACCATAGAATTTAAATTTGAATGTACACAGTAGAGGGCATATTTTAGCTTACAAAACGCTAGATGCTAGAACTTGTACTTACCAGAATAATGCTTGGTGTATTTCTTCATGAGGCACTCACAAAATTCAATCACCCAATTATGTGGCCATACCTTATATTTGTGTTGTTGATATGTGGAAGCCTTATGCTTTTAAGTAGAAGGGTTCTCCTTTATATTTAAACTGAGCTTTAAAAAATCTAATTTTTTTCATTAAAATAAAACAATTAGTAGCCAACAATTAACATTAATGTCCAACAGTTAAAATAAATACGTTATAAACTAGAATACGTTATATGAATACCAAACAATTGTGTTTCTGTATAGGATTTTTATTAAATAAATTTGAACAGTTAATCTCATACCAATGTAATATTTAGAGAGAAAACCAAGTACTTTTACTAATGTATTTAACTCACAACAGTTCTTGGCATATAGCACTTGATGGGTATTTGTTGAGTGAATATGAATGAATGTGCAGAGGAAAACATTTTATGATTCTTTCATCCTCAACCTGATCATTCCCACCTTAGATCCCTACCTCTAGGTAGTGTACATGTACACACACACACACCCCCCAAGTATGATTAGGTAGTCACTCATTTTCATATATTTAACACATACATGCACACTATCCTTTTTAACTGGTTGTATTTACTACCAATTCGGAACTTACTACTTATCAAATATCTTCAAAGAAAATTTTATTTCATGGGGCTAGGTGTAGGATTTCTTTCTGCTATGAATTTGTTTCGATAAATTGTTGAATGTAAGCAGTATGAATATAAGAATCAGACTAAAATTTATAATATTTTACACATTATTGGAGGCTTTTTTCTCTACTAAACTGTGTTCTCATCAGTCAGGATTACATTAGACTTATTTACCAATGTATCTCAAGGGTCAAGTACTGTGATTGGTACATAGTGAGAATATAAACAAAACTCATGGAATGAACAAATGAATAACTTTAGCCTCCACATTCAGGAATAATTAGTCAAGTAATTAAAATAATTTTTAATAAAATATACTAGTGGTTTAATTAAAAGATGGAACCTTTAAGTACTGTTAGACTATTTTGTAAAGAATTGTGAAGGGTCTGAGATACTATCTCACTGATATAGATGATGTAGATGTAGGTATAGATATAGGAGATATAGCACCTGGGTCAGAAGTAAGGAGTCCTTAACTAGATCAACAAGCGGAGTAACATAGCAGCATGTGTCCCCCACACCTTAGTCTTGCAGCGATGTGATAAGAGCCAAGTTAGCTGTTTACATCTCCTAAATGAGGGACAAAGAACAATTTCTCCATTTGTTTACTGGAGAGAGACAAGCAGATTTCTCCTTCCCCAAAGGAAGGAAAAAAACTTTCATTCCATTATGAGATGAAGAAGATCCTGTATTCTCACTAAAAACTTTAGAAATATAAGCATGTCTTTCCAAGGGCCAGATAAGCAGCAGATAAATCTCCAGATGATGGGCTGTATCTCTTTTGACATGTAAATACCAAAGGAGACAATGCCTCCATTGTTCTGATAACTTACAGCTTAATTTAGGACCTTGTCTCTGTTCTTTTTGAGCCTCTTGAGGAGAAAAGAGAAGTTTTGTTATCCTTCAGATCACATCATTAACTGGATGAGTGGCTACAAAAGAATATTTTTGGGAGAAGTGAAAGGAAACATTCCCTATCTTTTAATTATATGCAATGTTTTGTGGGTCAGGAAAGCCAAAACTTTATTCAAGAGCACTGAGAAATCTAGGGAAATTTTATTTCTTCACAATTATGTATGGATGTTTCAAAGTATTTACAAATAGTCCTGTGACATAAACCTATTTTTATAATAAAAATATTGGATGGCTTTCACTGTTGAGTGAAATGTAATAGATAGCAGCAAGCCATAAATATACTAAGTAGAAAATAACAGAATTTTTCCAAAATTGTGTTTTTTAAAAACGAGAGTGCTGAATCTGGAGAAAATTTTTTGGCCTAGGACCATTTGGCAGGTTTGAGCATGAGGTTTATAACAGGCATGCTATGAATTTGTTTGGATTAAATTATAAGAGAAGTGAAGAAGAAAGATGTGACCAGCAACAAAGGGAAAAATACTCTCAACAGAAGCAATAGATAATACTTTAGGTATGGGCTTTAAAACAACCATTATTTTAAAAAATTAAGAAAGATCTAGATGAAAAGATGGAGAATTTATGTGTGTGTCTGTGTGTGTGTGCACGCGTATATATATGAGTTCCTGAATTTATGAATGCAAACATTGCAAGAAAATCATACTTAAACATTTTATGATCAAACAGCTGAAGATAAAAAATAAACAGAAATTTTAAAATACCCACCCTATTTAAAATGACACATTATTATTATTATTTTTTAAAAGCAGCACTGACTGACAGCTGGCATTTCAACAACAATAAAAAAGGAAATTATAAGTCTACAAAATGACATTGTTAAAGTGCTTAATAAAATAATAATATTGATGATGTAGAAGATAACATGTCAACATAGAATTTTATACACTATGACATTTTTCTTCAAAATAAATACAAAGTTAAGACTTTTTAGACAAACAGAAGCTGAAATAACACACTTGCAAAACACATACACCAAAAGTCACAGAAAAAAAGTAGATAAATATTTAAACATATCTCAGTATCTCACAGAAATAGCAGCTAAAAATAAGAAAATGCGTGAAACCCCGTCTCTACTAAAAATACAAAAAATCAGCTGGGCATGGTGGCGCATGCCTGTAATCCCAGCTACTCAGGAGGCTGAGGCAGAAGAATTGCCTGAACCCAGGACGCGGAGGTTGCGGTAAGCCGAGATCGCGCCATTGCACTCCAGCCTGGGTAACAAGAGCGAAACTCCGTCTCAAAAAAAAAAAAAAAAGAAAGAAAGAAAATGCATGAGAGATTGAAAAAAAAAACTATCAGCCAGCTTTATGTCATTGAAATTCATAGGATATTACACATAAATATTGATAAAAAAATTTTCTTTAAATGTACATGAAGTATTTGCCAATATTGACCATATTTTGGGCCATAAGGCATGTTCAATAAATTAAAAAAATGGAAATTGTACAGAATATACCATGATGAAAATTTTGTAATTTAGCTAAAGCAGTACTGAATGTAATAAAAAATGCATGCATTAAGAAAGAAGAAAGGTTAAAATTGATGCACATATTTTTTAAAAGGTTGAAAAGAATAATTCCATAAGCTAAAATATTTAAACCGAAGATAAAATGAAGGAAATAATAAACAGAAGAACAAAACAAAAAGAAAGAAAAAGAAAGCAGGTGTATTGTAACAGATGAAAATCAACAAAGCAAAGAGTGGATTTTTTGCAAAGATTAAATATCTAGGAAGACTGAAAAAGGTGGTGAGATACATTACCACAGAAGTGAAAAAAGAGAACATTGCTGCCGATTCAATAGATAGTAAGTAGGTAAGAAGAGGATATTATTAAAAAGTTATACCAATATAATTGAAAATATCGATGAAATGGGTAAATTTATTGGAAAACAAAACTTATCAAAAACCCACACAAAATGAAAATTGACTAAACAGTTATGAAACAATCTGAAAAAAAAATTGAGTCTATTTAAATTACTCTCACAGAGGAACTCAGGCTCAAAAGGCTTCACTGGTGAATTTTTCCAAACATTTAGAGAAGAAATAAAACAAATTCGCCATCAAATTTTTTCAGAGAATAGGAAATAAGAAATAGTTCCAAACTCATTTTATGAAGCACTAACACCAATACCAGAACTTGACAATACAAAAAAGAAAAATTATAGGTCAATATCTCTCATGAGCATAAAATTCCAAGCAAAATATTACAATTAAGAAATATATAAAACGATAATACTCCATAAATTTCACTTATGTCAAGAATGCAAGGTTGGTTTCAAATATTAAAATCAGTCAATATAGTTCATCAATATTTAAGAGTCAAGGAGAAAAAAAAACACACATGAATAACTTTTTTGTTTGTTTGTTTGTTTTTGATGGAGTCTCACTCTGTTGCCCAGACTGGAGTATAATGGCATGATCTTGGCTCACTGTATCGTCTACCTCCTGGTGTCAAGTAATTCTCCCTACCTCAGCCTCCAGCGTAGCTGGGATTACAGATACTTGCAACCACGCCTGGCTAATTTTTGTATTTTTAGTAGAGACAGGGATCACTATGTTGGCCAGGCTGGTCTTGAACTCCTGACCTTAGGTGATCAGTCTCCCAAAGTGCTGAGATTACAGGCATGAGCCACCGCACCTGGCCTGAATATCTTAATTGGTGCAGAAAATGCATCAATAAAATTCAGCACTTAGTGTTCTATTGTGTAACAAACTATCACAGATTTAGCAGATTGAAACAACATACATTTATTACCCCAGTGTTTTTCTGGGTCAGAAGTCCAGCGAACCCAGCTGGATTCTCTGCTCATGATCTCACAAAGATTCCATATAAGTGTTACTTGGGTTGTGTTTCTTTCTGGAGCTCATAATCCTCTTCTAAGCTCATGTGGTTGTTGGTAGACTTTTGTTTTTCTGGTTGTAGGACCAAGTCCCCATTTTCTTGCTGCCTGAGGATATTATCAGCTCTTAGAGGATGCCTGAAATTCCTTCCATGTGGCTCCCTCTCACAGATTTTTACAGAACCTCTCTCAACGCGGTAGCTTACATCTTCTAGTCCATTAGGAAAAACAAAATTTCTGACTTCTATATCCTCTTTTAAGGGACTCTGTGAGTCATATTTCGTCCAGGAGCCATAGTTTGCCAATGCATAGGTCATAGAAATTTGTATACATACGAAAAAAATTAACCTAGATCCCTTCCTCACTAAATACAGACAAAAACAATTTGATAAGGAGTATAGACCTGAATGTGATTGCAAAATAATAAAGTTTCTCAAAGAAAACATAGGCAAATAAGTTTGTGATATCTGTTAGAGAAAGCTTTCTTAAATCAGGAACAAAATAAATAACCTTTTTAAAAATAAATTATCAGGCTACATTAAAATAAAAACAACTATTGAAAAGATAGAATTATAAGAAAAAGTAAGCCACAGAATGAAAATAAAATTATCTATCTATCTGGAAAGATATCTGATAAGTCCTCACAAATAGAATGCATAGGCATTCTTACACATATATAGGAAGACCAAGATAACTCAATAAAATAAAACTCTTAAACAGAAACGTCAGAAAAGGGGGAAATCCAAATGGCCCAAATGGCCATGTGAAAAGGTGATCAATGTTGTTAGTTATCAAGGAAATGCAAATTAAGACCACAATAAAATATCACTTCATATACACTAGACTGGCTAAAATTAAGAGGATTGATAATACCCAGCATAGATAAAGATTTGGAGTAAATAGAATCTTATACTACTGATGCATGTAAATGGAGCAGCTACTTATGTTCATCATGTTTATCACCAGGAGAATGGGTAAACTGTGGTCTAGTCACACATTGAAAATACACAGTAATAAGATGAATTAATTGCTTACATATGCCAAAACATAGATGAATCCCAGAAACATTATTTTAAGCTAAAGAAGTCACCCTCAGTATATTTTGCATTATTCCATTGTTGTAAAGATCCATTATAGGAAAACCTGATGGGGAGGGGAGGGTGGATGTTGACGGGAAGGCAAGATGTTAGACCTTCTGGGGTGCTATAAATGATTAATATCTGGATCTAGGTGGAGATTTCACAAACAAATTTCATAAACACAAGTATAAATGTATTAAGTTGTATACTTAAGATTAATATACTTTATACATATGACTGTATCATATATCTTTTTATCTTAATAAAAGATAAAAAGTTAAGTCTTTAGAAATATTCTCTCCTGCATTGCCATCATTTTCTTTATAATTAAATACAAAAAAATGTAGGCATTTGGAAGAAACAAACAAAATAAGTGCTGAAATAGAATAAATGAGAGTAGGAAGAATAAGATTAATAAACAAGATACATGTCCTGAGGTATATTTTATTAGCACTCATTTTTACAATGCCCACTGTTTATAATTGTATGGCCTTTCTTGCGAATCTATGGTTAGCTCTCATTAGCACATAAATTCACGTCTGCTTATACAATTTTTATATGCCTTTCCCATATTTACCAAGAGTCGAATTATGAAATTTTGAATGGTAATATTCTTCAGACATCCAAATGAGAAAAGGTACAGTGTTACATATATTTGCAAGAATTTACAAATATTACTATTTGTAACCATTTGATATGTGGTGACTACTTTTATTTGGTACATATAGATATATGAACTGACTAGAAAATATGAAAATTGGCAGTTAGTTTACTTCATCGTTGCTAGAATTCTCACACACATTGATGCTGTTTCCTTCTCAGATATTCAAAGTCCATTTCATCTTTGAAGTGATAAATTGAATTTATAATTTTAGACATAGTTTTGAGAGAGCTCCTTTAAAGTGTCAGGTTGATTAAGGAGGAAAAGAGCCAAATCTTAAAAAGAAATGCTAATGAAAGTGGACTATTTATTAAAATTAATATCATGACAATTTCTGATGCTCAGTCAGTCTGCCCCTCTCTTACATGGTAGAAAAGAGTGAAAGCTCAATTCAACACCTTATGCCTTGAGAATATCAGTGTAGATAACACCCAGGAAAATTTTCTGTCTTAGTCCCAGTGGAGGGTAAATGGGAAGCAAGTGTGAGAGCTAATTTATTGGGTTTTTCTGCTGCATTTAGTTGTAGACCTAACTCCCGTCTGTGTGTCCTTTGGCCTTCATGATAATCTCCATATACTCCATTGATGTTTTTGCTCTATCACACACTTATTCATTCAAGCTTTTAACCCAGGAGTCATTTTGGACTTACTCCAACCGCCCAACCATTTTTGCATTTTAAAAAGAAGAATTAAAAAATAAAATCTAATTCCTATTTATTTTACTTTCTGAAGATTTCTCAAATACTTTGTTTTCCCTTATCCAACTTTATTTTCTCTTAGCCAATTATTATACAAGTCTACTAACCAGTCACCCTGCTTCTTGCCTCTACCCTGTTAAATCCATCCACTTCTTTTCATATAGGATAATGTAATCACAGTATGAATTTGCCCACCTTCTTTCCTGCTGGAATGAGCTCAATGGCTTGTCATCATCTTTCCCATTATTTTCTCATTATGGATGTTCTTAACTCCCCTTCCAGCCTCATAGCCTACCATTCTGCTTCCATCTCATGATCTAATTATAACAATTTTATTGCTTCATTTCACTACTTCATGCTATTTCACGCTTTGGTGTTTATGCTTTTACTGTTTCTTTTTATGTGAATCTCTTTCTCCATTTTTTATCTGATGAATTTATTCTCAGGCTTTAATATGTGTCCCATGTGACACTTCTTCAACAATGTCTTCCCTGAACCATCCAAGTAAGTGTGATGCCCTTTTTCTGACCTCAGGAATTCTACTGTGCATATTTCCATCTTAGCACTGGCCTTATGTTGGTCATCCTTCCTTTGACTATAAACTTCCTGAGCATAAGATAATTTATTATTTATCTTTGGTGTTCCAGTCCTTAATACAGGCTGTTGTTCACATAGTTAGACACTCTATAACTGCAGCTTGCATGCCATCTTCTGATGGGCCATTTCAAACACTCATGCATATGTTACCTTTGCACTCTGGGAAATTCAGAAAGTCACACCAATTCTGGCTATTGCCAACAGACATACACACCTGTATATTAGTATACCTGATACATAATACAACCATTAATTAAAAATATGTAAGTTTTTGATAATTATAGTCTATAATAAATCAAAGGCATTTAAAGTTACAAATGAGGCTGGGCATGGTGGCTCACGCCTGTAATCCCAGCACTTTGGGAGGCCGAGGCATGCAGATCACGAGGTCAAGAGATTGAGACCATCCTGGCCAACATGGTGAAACCCCATCTCTACTAAAAATACAAAAAATTAGCTGGGCATGGTGGCACGTGCCTGTAGTCCCAGCTACTTGGGAGGCTGTGGCAGGAGAATCACTTGAATGTGGGAGATGGAGGTTGCAGTGAGCCAAGATTGCACCACTGTACTACAGCCTGGGGATAGAGCAAGACTCCGTCCCCCCCACCAAAAAAAAGTTACAAATTAGTTCCCCATTTTTTTAATACCAAAGTTTGTTACTCAACTTTTTCTTTTTCTTTTCTTTTCTTTTTGTTTTGTTTTGTTTTGTTTCTTCAGATTGCTGCCAATTCCTGGGGAAAGTCATGGGGAGAGAATGGCTATTTCAGAATTCTTCGAGGTGTAAATGAGTCTGACATTGAAAAGTTGATTATTGCAGCTTGGGGCCAACTGACAAGTTCTGATGAACCATAACATATTAAATTTCCAATAACCCCCTAAAGTTGAAGTTGAGCAATGTGAATTTCTTGGTGACAGTGGAATCTTTGTCTCTTCACCATGTTAACATAATGTATCTGTTTTCTTGTTGTAGTCCCAGTCTATGCTTCTGCTTTCTTCATATTACTGAGCATAAAAAACACAAATAAAGGACAGCAGAGTGCCTAAGTGTCTTTAAAGTTCCCAGGTTGTCTTATTTTTCTGTCATGATGGTATCCCTTTTGCCTTTAATTGTTCACAAACGGTGTGATAGCATCTGTCTTAATAGTTTTTAGTACTTATTTGTAGAAATGGTGTGATTTCTCTCTTTGACCAATCAGGACCTTAGACAGCAAGAAACAAATTAGAAATTCAGTGATTTGCCATCTTTATAACTTTCTTTTCATCCAAATAACACTTTCTTAGTTCAAAACTTGCTTATGTTTTGCTTAGGCAGTGGAAATACGTTATAAGTTGTTTATCTTGATAACTTAACATTTTGTTTCTTCTCATTTGCCTAAATCTGCCTTGTAATCTGGCCATAAAAAGAAAAGCAACACTCGCCAGGAAAGAAATACTCTCTATTTTACTCTGCAATGGCCTGTAATGTGGAGATGACAAGTAATGGAAAAGCCTGGAGGCTAACAATAGAAGCACTGCTCTGACATACACACATTTCTATTTTTGGAAGCTGGTATATTTTATGTAAAGTCTATTAAAATCAGCTGCAAAACTATATTTGGAAAGATAACAAAACATTTACTACCCCAAAACAGCAACATGATGCCATGATTCAGAAAGAATATATACACACTTTTTTCACAAATACACTTTTATCACAGTTCACTGCTTGAAATTCTAAAAAGTAAGCTAAATTGGCACTCATTTGCATGTAAATTTTAGTTCTTTATAGTCAGATAAACAAAAATAGCATCATAGCAATGGTTGAGAAAGGACATAATCTTTTAATAACTAACTGGCATCTAAAATGGAAACTAGTAAACACAGAAACAAATCTGATCAGTAAGTGAACACAATTGATCATAAATACAACTGTGGGCTCTCCATGGCCTGAATTTCTGGTCGCTATCATCTATTTTGATCGTTGGGATTTTTTTCTGTGATTGTGTCCAAAGATGTCCTGATTAGAGAAGCTAGACATGATGAAAATGTGATGGAACAGAGCACAGAAAGGTGAAGTGTTGCAGTTGTTGATTTCTTCATTAATCACTGTAGTTTTATCAGAAGAAGCATTTATTCACTTCTTTCTCCCTTAGAAAATATACATGAGGGTGAGTCACCTTGTTGGGGTTGGCTGACGTTTCCTCAAAGGGTTGAGAAATAATTTGTTTTTTTCTCTGTTTGGGGTCCTCTAGAAGTAGCCCATAAGACAAAGTTTTGAGCACGAACAATTTGGTTAGGCCATGAAAAGAACACTAAGGTAGTGAGAGGTGACATGGGCTGGTGATGGTGGACAGAAAAGGTGCATTGACCTAACTTTTATCCCACTGGGGACTCTTGCTACATTCTTTAGATCTATACCATCTGAGGAAAGAAGTGTTCCTTGGTTGAGGACTGTTCCTGGGGTCCGTGGATTCCTTGTTTTTTCCAGTCTGGCAAAAGAGTCAGAGAAAATAGGTTCCAGTATCAGAAAAAAGTCAGAAGCAAAGAAAGGCAGGTTCTGGTAGTTTGAGGTCCACTGCAATGGTACAGATGAGGTAATGTGGGCAGGGCACCAATAGTGTCTGCAGTGGGTGTTAAAATACTTTTAAAATGCTTTTTAAATGCTGAAGACTGCTGAAGTAATAAATTCTAATGCACTAAAGTGCCAGATGAATAACATGTCTGTAAAAAAACATGGGATTATGTTGATCTGCTTTTGCTTCTGTTATGCAAATGGATGAAAGATATTGGAATTAATTTTTCCCATTGTGGTTTGTGAGCTTAGGTTCTGCTGTTTTCAAAGGTCCTACCTTTCTAATGACACCAAATGATGAGGAAACTAAACCCAAAGTGAAAGAAAAAAGAAAATACCACGTTAGTAAGACCCATAGGAAAGCACAGTGTGTTCATGTAGCAATTACAGATCTAAAGAAGAGACAGAAACTAGTTGGGACACAAGTGTACCGATGGGATAGGGAAAATGTTGTTACTGAGGTTTGCTGAATCAGTGTCTTCTCTTGAATAGTGTTGTTAATCATTTTTAAAACTTTAAAGAGCTTGTTTAGTTTTACTTATTATTCAAGGGCTCTGAGCCAACTTTCAGAAACTAATGATTAGTATATTCCTTGCCTTACTCTAGTGATTGAGTAACTATTTGCAGAATTAATTTGACTGATGCCTAGATGGCATCCTCCCACAAATTAAAGTAGGAAAAACATTGAAGATAAGGGTGTATGGCCTCCTCTATTTCATGATGTTTGTATTATCTCATTTTATTCTAAATAACAAATAAGCTTCCCCAGTTTTTTAAAATACATGTTCAAAAATTTTCCTAAAAATACGTAAAATGGAATGAAGTTTATTAGTTGGGATTCAACCGTTAAAAAGGAAACCTCTGTAAGTCATTTGAACAGAAGGAATGTAGTGAAAGAAATTGCTTACCTAGGCAGTGGGGAATCTGGAAGGCAATGGGGGGGTGGTGAGACAGCCCAGAGCTGAGCAACAGTAGAAAGCTGCCATCACCTCTAGACTGAGGGACAAAGAAAAGGCAAAGGTGGGTAACTGGAATCTAGCGGCTGGTGTTAACCCAGCAGTTGCTGTAAGCATGACTGCCCTGTCTGATGGAAGCTGGAGCCATGAAAAGACATGGTGATGCCAAATTTGCCAGCTGAGGCAGAGGAAGGTGGAGAAACACCATGGCCTCCCTGTTTGTCATGCCCTCCGAATGCTGATCAATACCTCTCATTGGCTGACTCAGCTGAAAGACATCTGGTATCAGAGGTTATAAAATGGAGCTGTCAGGGTCAACCCCACCCCTTTACCAGATACATGGGAGAACAGGATAAACGTGAGGAAGAAAGGGTAAATGTAGAAAATGAATATTTGACTCATATAGATATTGGAAATTAAGATTACATAAAAGAATATTCTAATCAACAGTTACTTTATAAATAGTTTATCAACTTGGTCTCTTTGTTAATGTGTATGTCTTAAGTACTATAATGCATGCTATTACACATCCCTTTTTTGGTTAATCTCTGTTGACTTATAGATAATATATGATAATCTATGCAAGAAAAGATGTTTTCCCACTGCCTTCACAGTAGTGTGTAGAACTCTGTCTGAGGTTTACTATCATTGTGAAGCAGCAATGTTGTTTGGGGTAAGTACCTGGGGTTTGTTGTCTTGCACCAAGAAATTTTAGGACACAGACACACATGAGGAGGTTAAAAGCCGAGGTTTAATAGGCAGAGAAAAGAGAAAGGAGAACAGCTCTCTCTCTAGTTAAAGAGATGGGCTTCTGATTGTACAAGTGGCTGACGAGGAGAAGGAAATATGGAACCACCAGTTTGAACATGATTGGCACAACATCTATGTCTGTAGCTCAATGTTATAGGCTGCTCTTGGTTAGAAAGGAAAATGATTTCAGGCTGCTTTTCATTTAAAGGAAAACGTTACTGAGAACTTACGTATCCTCGCTATCTGCCTAAGTGATTTCTTCTTAACTCCTATATCAACTATCAGAACGATTATGATAATCTCATCTCAGGATATTTATTTTTCTTTGGGTGGAAGTTGATTTAATTTCAAAGAAAAAAAGGGAGGGAAAAGAGAGTAGTACCTCACAAACCACCATTTTATGAAATGTATCAAGAGAGAAGAGCATTAATACATCAGGTGTCATTGTATCAAGAAGGAGACTTCTAAAGAACACACAGACATTTCTTTCCTAGAGATGTCAATGAGAATGGAAAAAAGCATCAGCCCAGCACTGTCAAGAATGAAAGACTGAATGAAGGGAAAAGACTTCTCCATTTCTAGCCATGAATACTATTATGCATTATTTTGATACTATATCTGATAGAAATGTTTAAAAAGTAATTGATAGGTAAACCTAATAGTGTGAGATTTCTCCTCAAGCACCAGGAAAAGCCCCATTAATTAGAAAAAAATAGAAAAACACTCTCGCCTCTATATATCATCTCCGCTCTATAACCTCTACCCTTGTCAAGAGTTTAGCTTTATGCTTTTCAAGTTATTCCATGAAAGACTGGTTGATATAGTCTTTGTGTCCCCACCAAAATCTCATCTTGAATTTTAACCCCCATAACCCCCATGTGTCAAGGGTGAGACCAGCTGGAGGTAACTGAATCATTGGTGGTGGTTTCCACCATGCTGTTCTCATGGTAATGAGTTCTCATTAGATCTGATGGTTTTATAGGGGGCTCTCCCCACTTTGGTTGGCGCTTCTCGCCATCTTGTGAGGAAGGTGCCTTGCTTTCCCTTCACCTTCTGCCATGTTTGTAAGTTTCCTGAGGCCTCCCCAGCCATGTGGAACTGTGAGTCAATTAAAACTCTGTAAGTTTCCCAGTCCCTGCCAGTTCTTTATAGCAGTATGAAAACCAACTAATACACTTGTCTTCTGAGATCATAAGGGGAAAATGTCTAGTTATATTGAATTTAAGCTATATGTTGTACTCTGTACTTGAAATATGCACAGTTCACAGGTAGGCTGTTGAGAAATCCAGCAGCACGTCTAGCACCAGCTGGATTTCTGTCCTCTCTCACATCAACGATGCATCCTTTCTAGTGGTCAACATGTTCAATTATATACAATAGCTCCACATCTGACCACAGACTCTTTTCTCCTAAAAATTCCCATTAAATCACACACTATCCAGTCAATATTATTGTAAGCCTGCAGGCTGTTAGTTACTGTGGTGGGTGTTTAATTTATAACAGGGGACCCTCAACGCAGACAATCCCTGCCCTCTGTTAACTCACGAATTACTCTTTTGTGAAAAGCATTTTGGAAGATAACTGGCCTAGATACAGTTTTAAATAGAAAGTTATGTAACAAGCTTTTAGAGAGAAGCTGGAATACTCTGAGTTTTGATATAGCAGCGAGCGTTTATCTTTATCTGTAAATCACCTTTGATGCCCCTATCGAATGTAACCTTAGGCTAGCTATAGCTTAGATCTGAGCCAGTCTGAAATTTCTTGTGACAGTGCATTGGTTTATAAAGTCAAATGCTGTGCC